AATTTCAAAGTCATTAATACACACACACGCGCGCACACCTCCTGATGTAACTTAAGATAAGTTTGGCAATGCCACTTACATCTTATTTGCTTAAGCTTGCATTACTAGTATTATCTTCAATCCATGGTTTCTTGGCAAGAAATCCTTGTCCATTTTCTGAGGGTTAGTTTAGTTAATACTAGAAAAGAAAATCTGTAGGTCATCTAGGCAGGGACACTTGAAACTGAACACAGCATGGACAGCCTTCTGCAAAGGGGTTTTCCAGTCTTCCTTCAGCAATCCTGGAATACCATATGCGAATGACATTGCACGACATGACATAGGAATCAAGTCATGGTACCAGGGTCAGCCCACGTATCAAATATTTTTGTTTGAAAAAATAGAAGCATAGATTTTCATTATCTTATTCATCCATATCTAATCCATCAGCAAATACTATAAGTTGCACCTTCAAAATACATTCAGAATCTGATCACTTCTCCATCCAAACCACCATATTTGTTCCAAGCTGCCATCATGTGGGTTAGCATAATGACCTCCCAAATGGTCTCCTTGTGTCTATCCTTGGCCTCTGAACTGCAGGCAACATGATCCCATTAAAATATGTGCCAGTTGTTTGTTCAAATGGTTTTCTATCTTGCTCAGAGAGAAAGCCTAAAACCTTACTATGACACTCAAGGCCTTCAATGATATGTCTCCCATTATTTTTCTGCTTCCATAAAGAGGAATGCATTGACCTTCTCATTTAGCCTGGAGAGCTCACAGAGGGTGGAAGATGCATTTACTATAAATAAAGACAGTCAAGAAAGTTTCCCTGTGAGGTGGTCAACTGTTTCAAATTTTTTCCACAACCAGACAGATTTCCTTCTGAGAAGTTCAACAGGAAGAGGAAGCCTGTCCTGATGCAGTCCTGCCGATGGGCACCTGGACCAGAAAACTTTTCTGTTGAATGGATGTTTATTTCCTTTATTTTCCACAAATGCATGGTTTTACTTAAATAAAGAGCACATTTTCATTGTTTAGTTTTGTAGATAAGTCTTTGAAAACGATGGATGTAATAAAGATTATTTGCAACACCCACATTTGATGCATCATCTTCACAACTACACAGTTTAACGTGAATTTAAATTCAGCTAATAATTTCAAAGTGACAGTTTTATCTACAAAGCTTCCATTTCTATTTCAACCAATATATTTAGTGGAACAATTTAGAGCACTTGTTTAAACTGATCCAAATAACATTCAAAAAAAATAAAGGGAAATAACTTTCAAATGCATTTTAATAACAGAAACCACTGCTGTTTTTTAAAGCAATGAATCTTAGCTTCAAATGTGAATGTTAATTCTACAATTTCTTATTAAATAGACGAAGAGAGCAATGTAACTGTTATAAAAATCCAGCACTCTCCCATAAAATACTGACACACAAATACTAAGACCTCAAATAAAATACATGCTGTGAAATGTAACAAGTGAAAACACTGAAAATAAAATAAGATACAAAATTAAAAAGTTCAAACACACATTATACTTCAATTTTCACTTCACTTGATTTCCACTGCTTTATAGATGCATCTCATGTTCAAATAGTTCAAGAAACCTGGTGATTTTCTTTATTATAAGGGGGGGAGATGGCAATGATTGAACACTCTGCATTTTCTTTGGTAATAGAAAGTATGATTTATGAGAGGAGAATAAAAATCTAAGAAAACCACTCAATACTTTATTCAATTTTTCAGATCATGCTGATTTAGAGCAAATTTCCTTCATGCTGCCAGTATGGAAAATGTAGTTTACTGGATTAGAACACAGCAATTAAGAGAATGTCTGGGTTTGCCTCCCTGTTTTTATTAATTTTGTGATTCTAGACAAGGCACATCAACTCTTTTAAGCCTCACTTTATCCATTTTTGAAAAATGGGATAATAATGGAAACAAGATCTCAAAGTAAAGATAATACACCACTAGTGGCATTGAAGATAGCTGGCACAGGGATAGACTTTTTAAAAAATATTATTTATTTTAATGGTCTGAGAAAGATACATAATTAGTATGTCAAAAATGTACACAGGCAATTTCTCAGGATAAGCCTAGGTAGCACCATGGGAATCTCTTTTTCAGAGAGTAGTTCTTTTCAGTGCTTCTCTGAAACTTCATTTCCATGAACAGGGACATTTAAAAACTAAAATTATTTACACAAATGACTCAAATGTTGGGAAGAGAGTCAGGGTTCATGTGAATTATGTGAGAATTAAAGGAAAAAGTGATATAACATTCATAAAGTACTTGGCATAGTGTTGGGGTGTATTAAGAGCACGATAATTGTTATTATTTTTCCTTATAATCTATTATTGCCATATTACTATAATGCTAATAAACCAAATGTACTCCATTCTGACATTAAAGAAGCTTATGAGTATCCAAGCATAATAAAGCCATCATCTGTTACTTTCCAAATGATTTACAAATAAGATGCATTAAGAAACTAAGAAACCAAGGGGCACCTGGGTTGCTCAGTGGGTTAAGCTTCTGACTTTTGATTTGGGGTCAGGTCATGATCTCAGGGTCATGAGATCCAGCCCCTCATTGGGCTCCTGGCTCAGCAGGGAGTCTGCTTGAGATTCTTTCTCTCCCCTGTCCCTCTCCACTCCCCGCCCTGCCCTGTGCAGTAAGCACCCACGCATGTTCTCTCTCTCAAATGAATAAATAAATACAATCTTAAAAAAAAAAGACACTAGGAAATCAAGAAAGAATAAAGGAAATTATGGGGGGAAAATGTGGAGAGGCGCTCACAGAGGGACAAATGAGCAATGACCTGAAAATAACATAAACCATTTATCATAAGAATATTTGGTAATAGGTTGCAGTGACACTGGATCTAAGTAAATCTGCCTAGGAATAATCAAACCTGGCAAATAGTACCTATACCATCCCCTTAACCTTTGAATCAGGACATTTGAAATAAATAAAATGGCTTTTTACTTATTTTTTTTTTAAATCCAATAAGTAATGCAGTCCATACCACTTAATAAAGGTCCAAAACTTTTCCTGTAATTTTACTAAGTTTCTCTGAATAGTTTAAAAAATAATTTTTGTTTGTTTGGCTTTTTTGCTTTTTTTCCAAAAAGAGGGAAAGGAAGGCAATGTTAATTTCCAACATAATATTGCTCAGCAATTTTCCTTTCAATGCATGTTATGTATTTCCATGTAATTGCAATTGCAGTTAGTGTTTTCCTACAGGCAGTATTTCCCACGAACATATGTGCTCAGTATTTTGTGAATGTTTCATTTCATTTAAATAAAATATTCTAAATTTCATCCACCAATATATAAAGTAACCTTAATATTTTTGTATTCTAACTGTTATCACAAATTAACCTTATTTTTTTTTAACACTGGCAAAGGGTCATTCAGTAATGATCCGAAGATAATTAATATCTAACTTAAAATCCAGCTGTCTTAATCCTAGTAAGACCAAATTCCACAGTGTATTTCTTATACCCGAGAATTAGTTGGGAACGGAACAGGGCCCAATCTGGTGAGCTTCAAATAATGGGCAAGTCATGTGATAGCAAAACTTATCAAAAGTGTCACCTTGATAACCCACCATGAATTTCTCACCCAGAAAAGAAGGCTATGGGCCAAAGGCTAAGGTAGACGTTCAAGCTTCGGGATAAAGCATATAAATGCCACCTAATGACAGTTAACACATGATGAGTGACACTAGCTGTCTTTGGGGAGCTAGAAGAAACATATTAATGACACTATGGGTGCCTCGCCAAATGAATCAAGAACCCACATGCACTCACTGAAAATTCATTTAAAAAGGAATTTTTCTCTTCTTGCTTGAAAGGTGTAATACAACTACAATTATGTGATATGATCAAAAAGGAGCTCCTTCAAGCAGGTGAATTTACCAGGTAATTAAAGCTAATTTCTGGACAACAGACAAATAAATGACTTGAAATTGCCATTGAGCTTTATCAAGTTGCTTATTGAATTTACCATCTTCAGTGACTGTCTTGGCATTAGGAAATATTCTATCTATTTTGATCTTTGGCCTTCACTGAAGAAGCCTTTCCCCGCTACGTATCCTCTCTCACTACATAATGCTGTCCAATCAGTAATCTTATAAAAATAATAAGAAATAAATATAACAGATCTTTAAGAATGACACCTGTTCTAGGATTTGACATTTTAAATATAGCAACATTTTTCTGAATCCCAAATAAATAAAAAGAAAATCTTTCTGAGAGCTAAAAGAAATACCTAATAATTTTTAGCAACCTGGAACATGTAAATTTATAACATGTTTCCCTGAGGAAAATATATATTTATTCATAAATTAACTTGTTCATCAAAAGCTTATTAGTGAGGTTGAAAACCAAATTTGTACTTACTTCTTTTTTACTTTTTATTTATTTTTTTAAGTCACAGCTAATGGGCTGAAAAATCAGATAACATTTTACAGCAGAAATTGAGATTCACTTACTAGCCATGAACCATAAACATTATCATTATGAAGTTACAAAGATAAAATTTTATTTGTTATAAAATCAAGTGGTCCACCTATAAATCAGTTTAATTTTAGTTTCTACTACATTTCTTATTTTTAGGAAAGAAAAAAAAATCTAGCACATGGCTATCATCAAGGTATCAAATGGAAAGAAATTTAGGACCCATCATTATCAAGGTATTCTTAAAATATCTCATTAAGCTATTACTGTTAATCTTATTTTCATTTTTAATTGCTTAATTTAAAAATATTTTTATAAATGATATAGATTTTTGTTCTGGAACATATTTATTGATTATGATAGAATTTAGAGGTTTTTCAGAAACTTGAGAATTATAAGAAGAAACTGATAGCAGAATAGGTCAGAAACAGGGCAGTTGGCTCAGTTTTTGCAGAAATGATAAATTATGAACTCATATTCTGAATGTACTCTAAGTAGTAGAAAAAGTTCTGATGCAAGTGCATGCCAATAAATTTACACTTACTTTGCAGAGTCCAGGTGTCTGTAGTACACTGTAACTCTATCTCCTCCCCGTGGGTCCATTCCATCTTCTGCAGGATCTGCCTCATCTCACAGTGGATGTCCTCCGTCATGGACACTGGTTGACTGTTGACTGGTGTCTTACTCAACGTCTTCATGTGCTGTTGAACTTCCGCCAAGAGAACAGCTTGTATTGCTTCAGTTACCTATAAAAGTATTTTTTAATTTTTTTTTTTTTTAGGATTATTACAAATGTTTGGGGTCTTTTTTTTTTTAAGATTTTATTTATTTATTTGAGAGAGCGAGAATGAAAGAGAGAGAGAGCGCACATGAGAGGGGGAATGGTTAGAGGGAGAAACAGACTCCCTGCCGAGCAGGGAGCCCGATGTGGGACTCGATCTCGGGACTCCAGGATCATGACCCGAGCCGAAGGCAGTCGCTTAACCGACTGAGCCACCCAGGCGCCCCAGATGTTTGGCGTCTTACATCAAGCTGAGAGCCTGGAATTTTGACGTAAATAGGTTTCACAATGTGAAAATTCCCCTAGAATTAGCATCTGAAACATTTGAAACGCAGATACTGAGCACTGGAACTCAAACCATCATGTTCTTTTGCTAACGCAAGAAGATTCTAAAAGGAAAGTTGAAAGGAGTTCTCAATTCTTTCACCTAAGATACTTTCATTTCCACCAGAGAATAAAGAAAATGAATTTGAAGATATCGTATTGCTCTTAAAGACAATTTTAGCTCCTCAAATAATGTCTAGCTCTAAAGCACTATTTAGCTAAAAACACTTAATTTAAACTCAGGTTTAATACAGAAAGTTAAAGTCAAGATTTTAATAATAAATCTCACTAAACTGTGTGTATGTGTATATGGTTTTACACAGTTTAAAAATATCACAAAGCTTGCCTTCCAATTATTGTACATGTCCAGTCAAGGATCTGTGATTGGGTAGAGGGGGAGGGGAATGCTTGTCATAGACATCTAATTCAGTATCTTCATTTTTTAAATGAAGAACCTGGGACAGGACATCCCACAGATATGGTGGACAGGCCCTCGAACCCCTGATTCTATGTCCTTTGTAGTATATGTCCTCCCAAGGTTCTATATCCCCATCCCTTAGTAAAAGGCCAGTGACAACGTACCTTAGTCTCTTCCTAGAAAGATATGAGGCAAGACCCCATAGTTACGTAGAATTCAAAGAAAGCTAAGAGCCGAGTCAGTGAGAGAAGAGGAAAAACACCACTGATCTAGGTGAACTTGGGACACTCCTAGAGCCACACCCCAATGCCTACTCCTCTTCCCCCAAAAGACTGCCCTATGTCAAGAGGACTCATGTTCCACCACTGCCACTGTCCCATCTGCATTATCACCAGTCTATCCATAGGATGCCTTCAGCTAGGGCTTTGGGTGGGTCAACACCAACTGATCTAGAGATGCTGATGCCAAAAGCAGAAAAGGTATTCACCTAAATATTTATTCAGTTTCTTCTACGTGCCATGGTAGTGTGTGCAAACTTCAGGCTCCAGGGACACTCAGAGAGCTTAGCTTATGTTGAAGGCAGATGCTCACCGAACTGCCTGCCAGGGCAGAAGGAGCCAGGTGCTTGACTTTTAAATACAGGAAGCTACCCATGACCATCCCCCTGTCCTTGTCCACTCAAATGCTCACACTCAAATACCTGGTTAGGTTGTGACAAAAGGCTAATGAAGGATGTGATTTTACTATTGCCTACCAAGTCTACCAACACTGCAGTATCTCCTGTCACAATACAGGTAGGTACGTGATGCTTACTCATGCATATCGTGTGATGAGATACCCAGCATTGTAACAGCTATTGCAAACCATGGTTCTAACATATAGTTCTACATATGATGATACTATTGAATCATGCCTAATAATAATATCTACCATGTGATGAGATATGTATTAACTATTAGATATATTTACTAACATATACCATTCTATATTGTAATAAGTGAACCATGCTTATTATGTATATCATATGATGGGACAAACTGTATTAATTATTCATGAACAATTTTCCATCACTGAATTTACTTTGTTTTAATTTTGTCACACATTTTATTTGACAGCACTGCTTCCAAGATGAGGACGATATGGTAGAAAGAGCTCTGAATCAGAAATGAGAAAACCCAAGTTTCTGATCCAACCATACAGTTATCACAAAGGCAACTTTTGCAAAGTCATGTACTACTCTGGGACTTCATGTCCTCCCAAAAAACAAAGTCCGTGATGCTGAGTGAGACTAGGATGAGAGCTTTCAATCACAGAAATCTATATGGAACTTGCTGGTGTCCCCACCTATAAATCAGGAGGATACTGGAGGTTATCTGCAGACCCGTAATACATCCAGACTGTGGTCTATCCTTCAGAATGGGCAGTTTGGCCGTATGTTCCCATGGGATCGTGTCTGCCTTCTCACACTGGGATTATTACCACCTCTGAGGAGCATCTACAGTTGTGATTTAGATTACAATGTTCTATACCACTGGATAACAACTTGGGTCAATATTCTTTCCTAAAAATATATGGGGATGTATGCAATTTCATTGAACATTTCTAATTATTAGATTTATGTATCATGACCACATTTTTTAACTATTGAATTTTGGGGCTTTTTGACATTGTCACTATCAATGTACATTATAAGAGTAAATAATATGAGTATCATTGAAAAACAAGAGGAAGCAAAAATAACTGAATAAAACATATTAACCATAATGAATAGGATACTCAGTCACACAACTTAAAAGCGAATACTGAATGGCATACACCCAATTAGAAACAAACTCAAACCCACACTTTGTGCTCAGTATGAAATCAATACTCAGCATGGCTCCAATCCACAGACAGATGGTACATCTTATAAGCATGTAATAATGTTATACCAGTATCTGTATACAGTGGGTACTAAATAAATGCTAATGGAATTGAAAGAGATTCTGTACTTAAAAAATATAACATATAACGTGTAGAAAGTAGAATTTATTGATAATTTCTGACTATCAATACTTAAATCTCTCTAGTATATAAATATAGTAGATAAATTTTGCAGATAGTTAGTAGGGATAGAATTTTCCCCAACAAAATATAAAATTTTTGGACCATATATTGTATAACTTTTTGAATTTAATAATGAGCTAGAATTGAAAGCACTACAGCTGTAAAGCTGCCTTCCAAATGTATAGAAATAATTTTCTTTGAAAAGACAGATGTGCAAAGCATTACCCTCTTATGAGGGAATGTGCAGAGATTTAAGTGAAGATTTATAAATCCATTGGCTGGAAAGAGACAGCCACAAATCTGGGCCATATACTTATTACTAGAAGTATTACTATGCCACAGGCAAGCTAAAAATTTTAATGGTTTTCTACTAAAACCTTGACATAGCAAAGTTCTGTAAAATAGCACAGAGCATTATGAAGACTCGTGAGAGCCCCTGTGGCCTACTTGTGGTTCCAATGTCCAGATTTTCCAGGACAAAAGCATTTTCTCAACACTGGGTTCACACTGACTTTTCATGTCTTTGCAGCATCTCCTGGAAAAGCAATACTTGTCCCTGGAGGCCTGGATGTCATGATTTCACCCACTGGTGTTAGATTATAAAATCCAGAAAACTTTAGTGAAGTTTCGGAAACACGCAAATTAGCAACCCCAAAACCTTACTTTGCTTTTCCAGCATTTATTTCTCTGTTGGTATTTCATGCCATTAGACACAAAAGAGACAATCTCCAGACAAACTCATTCATCTGCAAAATTAACATATTCTTACCTCCCCCTTCAATTTCTGAGGTAGGATTTTGCTGTTTGACAGAAGCATTCCATTACCAACTAAAATACATTCAAAATAGATTCGACTTAACATGATTTGACTAACCGCTCAAATGAACAGCTTTATAAGGAATTTGAGGATTGGTTAATGAATACCTGCAAGAGCCTCTGTTGCTCCCAAAGGACCCAGGAATTATCATTCCTATTTTACACGTGAGGAAAATAATCAACAAGTCACACCTATCTTCCAGAGCTATTCATCAGGTTAGCGGCAGAGCTGAGAGGAGAACTCTGAAGCTTAGACTTCCTATAAAGTGAGTAATCAATGCTCTGGTAACATTTGTCGCCCTGCCGGACTTTTACACAAGGTCATAGAATCATAGAACCTTAAAGGTCCATTAGTCCAAACATGTCCAAACCACATTAAAATTTATTTGAAGGCCAAATGAGCAATTACAAAAGATCTTTAGTTAGAGCAAAAACAGGATAAATTTTCTGTTGAATTCTTTTCCTTCAGGATTTTTACCCCTTGTTGAGGAATTCTTAGGCTACTGGGGGGAAAAAAATCTTACCTTTAATAGCGACTCTTATAGGATGATTGCTAACACACTGGTATGATTGCTAACACGCCGGTAAAGTCAACATATACTGATGTTTATCTGATTGTCAAAGAGGCTTTTTGCATGGCTATTCATTCATTCATTAAATATTTATTGACAGGCTGTTGTGACTACTGCCTTTCTGGGCATTGTTGATTGAGAGGTGAGTGAGACGAACCAAGTCCCTGCTCTCAGGAAGCTTCTATGACAGCAAGAAGACAGAAGATAAGCAAGCAAAAAAGCAAATGGAAGCATTTCCATTAAAAGCAACTGCAACAAAGAAAATAAACTGTGTACTGCCATGGTGACTGGAGGTATAGGCTGGGGGAGGGTGTGGTGACAACATGAGGTAGGTAATCAGGGAAGACTTCGTAGAGGAGTTGGCTTTTGAGTAAAGACCCAAACAATGAATGGAAAAATTAGAATTCCAGCCCAAGAGAACAGTGAGGTCCCGAGGTAGAAATAAGTGTTGTGTATTTTGGAAATAAAAAGGTCTGTGTGGCCAGTTAGAGCAGGGGGGAGAATGATGAATGAAGAGGTTAGGCTAGTGGCAAATCATGTAGAAACTTGCAGGCCATGGTAACAAGTTTCAATAGCCATTCCAACTGTGTTTATTTGGTTTTGTGGTGTCAACCCCACAGTGTGTTCTGAGTTAACTTTCTTTGTTTTCCTATAACTAAGAATAAGCATTTGTAATTGGAATTATTGCTATAACTTGTCTTGCACATTTGACATTATTAAGCTTATGAAGAAGAATTAAGTCCTAATAAATATTCATCTAATCAATGCACAGATATTTACTGTGCAATGTACAAAGCTACCCGGTAAGCTTTCAGGATCCACAAAAGCCTTAAAAGAGATAGAAGGACTTAAACTGGGCCTTGAAGAAACCCGTTCTCTCGAACAGCTTACAGATGAGGTACTCTTAAGATAGAGAAATGATTCCTAAGTCCACATACCAAATTCCCAAGCCTAGGGACTTTTATGTCATGGCACATTTTGAAATCAAAGAATAGACAGTTCTGCCACAAACCGAAACCTTAATAGGCAATAAGGTACCTGTAACAACAGGAACAACCCCTCCTCAGGCCTTCTATTCACCCCACCTAGCCTATGCATCCTTGCATATGTCATTTCCACTTCTCCCCTCGTTACTGGTCTCTGCATTAGTCCTGGTAAATGAAATGACCGGGGAGGAAATATTAGCCACTTACGGGTACTCTCAGGTTAAGGGGAATATGCATGAGCCACTCACAGAATAGAAAGGAACAGCAGGGAACTCTTCCAGTAACTTCAAGAGCATGCACTATGTCATACCTGCACAGAGTGGTCTCTCCAACAAGAAATGAGCTTCCAAAGTGAAACGTCAGCGTCGGGTATATGGGAGTCATTCTTACCTAGAAATAGAGAGAACACATTCGTATCTCAAGAGTATTAAAACATGGATGCAACCCAATGATCCCCAACCCCGGCTGCATGTTAGAGTCACCTGGGGAGCATTTTTTCCACAAACACCAATGTCTGGGTTCAAGCTTTCAAAGATTCTGATTTAATAGGTCCCAGGGGGAGGGGGGCGCAGGCATTAATACTTTGTAAAAGTACCTCAGATGACTTTCATGTATAACCAGAGTCAAGAACCATTTATTAATTTATATGTATGTCTGACAATTATACGAATACATATTCACATCAAATCAAATTCATTTTATACCCTAAACCCATCTTTGTAACTTTTACCAACAGACTGCAATGAATAATGTTCCCACTCAAAACAGATTGCCAAATTTTACAATTCCTTCCTCATGCAAATAGATCCTAACATACTACCTTGCCATGAATCAGCATCTATCATACAGAAATCATATAAAAGACTTCCTTTGATTTGTCCTTACCCGGCTATACTACTCTGATCAATAGATATAGCACTTATGTTTTAATTTGACTCATTTTGTTATGTATTGTTTCTTTTAAGTTTGCCCTTTTGAATGTCCTTTCTATTTGCCTTAATGTTCAGTGTGAAATTTTTAAGAGTGAGCCAGGGCTTGGTTTATTTAAATTGATCCATAGAGTGTCCAGCAGCCCCCTACACAAAAAAGCACTTAATAAGTGCCTTTTCATTAATTGAAAATGTACATATTATCATCCAAATGAAAAATTGATCAATTAAGGCTTTCTGATGGCTAAAGTATATTATCTTGGTGCCAGATCGTGGGAGTGAGATAAGGAAAAATGATGATGGCTTGCATTGGAGGGAAGATTAATCATTATTTAAATTAATGTATTAATATGTGTTTGAAATTCTGGCATCAACTCTTTAAGTTAGTATCAATCCAGTATGCTTTTCATTGAATCACCATTTTATATATTAATAGATATTGTCTATTTGTGTATATATGTACAAATATATATTTTATAAATATTTTGTTATATATATATTTTTATATATCACATTAGTGGTCAAGGGAAATGTGATAGAAAGTATTAAACATAATGGGAACTGAGAATATTAAAGGGATATATATGAAACTTCTGACTCATTATTAATATCGTTATTTTTCCCTGATAGAACATATGATGTGAATTTGAAATGACCAAGATCAGTGCATAAAACATTTAAATATGATAGAGCACTATGATTCTGAAGTCATATTTTCCATTTCTTCATGAGCACAGCAGGTAAGAGAAAATTTTCTTTTGATCTCTCTCCTTCCCCTCCTCTCTCATTCTGATGACCTTGTGACTTTACATCAAAGCTAAGTATTGGTCTCAACTTTAACTACTTACTGGCATCATGGGCTACTTCACAGTGCACTTTAATGTGATGTTAAAATTTTAATATGAGGTAGAAATGAGAGCCAACTTTTCTTGGCAATGTCAGTGAACTAAAGAATTAATTGCAACATCAGGGGGAAAGATAAAAAGAAAACGGCCCAGGCCTACCAATATTACTGAGTCACCATTTTTGCTGACAGAAGTGGGTATTGGTTCCTGTCAACCCTTTAGAATGAGCACCTCAGAGTATTACTTTATTCAGGCTTTGACTTTACAGAATTAATAGCATAAAGCGAACCCCTCCTTTCCTTTCACCTACCATCTTCCAGTTACTAAAACACAAAACCATGTTTAGGATCTACGTGAATCTTAAATGCTCTAAATGCCACCTCTAAACATGGGAGGGACTATTCAGTAAGAACACCAGTTGCTCCTGCTACTTTGGTTGGGGCGGCCAGAGGAAAAGCCGGAGCCTCCGTGGCTCTGGTTAGCAACCCTCTCCATCTCTGCCGAAACCACTTATATTATGCTTTAAACACTAATCCTTTTCTTAATGTTATAAAAAATGAAAACAAGGATGAATGCCCTAATAAGGGCTACTATTTAAGGAGAAGGCAGGCAACCCAGACTGGGACCATTTAGAGGGGACACTAGTTGTAATCCTGAGAAGTGTGTTGACGTAATGCAAAGAGCATCTAACTTCCTTGAGCCCCAATTTTCCCAAGGGTAAAACAAAGATAGTCCCTCCTACTGTGCAAGGTTGTTTCTATATTGAAAGAATATGTGTAAAGCCATTAGCATAATTCTTTGAATATACTAGACACTCAAAAATTGGAAGCTATTAATAAACTCTCACTTTAAAATATTCCAAATATTCTTTTCAGTAGCCTTGAGAAGGCCCCTATGTACCATTGTTCAGGGCATCTCAATGTATCAATGGTATACTGCAGAACTTCACCAAGTCTAGAGTCTTATTCCCATTGTACAAGTGTAGTAAATACAGCTTTTTAAAGGAGTAAAAGACATGCCCACAGCTGCACAGGTAGTTAAGTGGCAGAACTAGATCTTAAACCTCAGCCATCTATTTCCAAAGCCATCATTCTGTTTACTATTCACGCATGAATCCAAAGGTATTTGCTTAATTCCTTGAAGGCTTTGTTCTGGGAACTGGGGATGAAGCAGTAAATAAAACTGTCATAAAAAAATAACCGCCACGGAGCTTACATTTTAGTTGCAGGACGTAGATGTCAAATGAAAAAAAGAAAGATATATATTACATCAGAGAGTAAAAAGAATTAGGGAAAACAGTAAAACAGGGAGTGTGATAGAGTGTGCTGGGGAGAAAGGAGGACACCTTCCTTGATAAAATGGCATCTGAGCAAGCACGAAGGATGTAAGGTGGAGGTGGGAGGCAGCAGGTTCACTTCTGGGATCTGAGGAAAGAGCATTCCAGGCAGCAGAAGGCCCTAAGAACTGCCCGTCATGTTTGGGTCAGAGTAAAAGGTCTCGTGTAGCTGGACCACTCGAAGCAAGGGGTAAGTAAGTACAAAGAGATGAGGTCAGATGGGGGGGGTGTGCGTGTAATGACAGAAGCAGAACAGCCAGGTTATACTGGGCCTTGTACGCTCTCCTAAGGACTGTGGCTTTTATTCAGAGTGGAACAGAAGCTGCTGAAAGGTTTTAAGCAGAAGCATAATGTTCTGACTTCGTTTCCAATAGGTCATTCTGGCTGCTTAACTTCGAATAGAGTATGGGAAGGAGTGTTAGGAGTGGAAGGGTGGTTGGGAGGCAAGGAGGGATGAAGACTCTGGGGGGGCGGTCCTGTGGGTAGAGAAAAACAGTCAGAATCCGGCATATATTCTGAAGGGAGAACCAATATATCTACTAAAAGATTGGGTGTGGGGTACACAAAAAAGGGGAGGGTCAAAATGACACCAAAGTTCTTGGCCTGAACAACTAGAAGGGCAGAGTTGCCCCTTACTGAGATGTCAAATATTTAGAGAAGCAGGTTTTGAGGATAAATTAGCTATTTGGCATCAAAAGAAAATCTAAACGCCAAGACTATTACGCAGAAGAATTCAAGGATCAGTATATAACCTTCTGAAAAAGCTATAAAATTCTCTCATATAATAATCATTTATTTGGTAATAAAGATACTGATGTAATAAACTTCCCCGTAAATCACAGGTGACCTTAATTTAATATCCAAATATTTCTTTTGGTGAACATTTTCAGGCTTTCAGGCATTTCAAAGATCATTTGATGAAATTCATCACATTACATGTCTTGTAACATTATTAATTTTAATAAAAAATCATGTATCTTTCAAATACAGGCAGAATACAAAAGTATACCCATGTGAAATGCAGACTAAATCAAATAATAAATGCAAACACTGCTCATTCTAAACTATAGCATGCGATTCAGTTATAGACAGGCTAGTTATTCTATTTCATAAAGGAAAAAAAAATCAGACTTATATCTGTAAGTCCTTTACCATTTCGTAAGTAACCATACAAGCTTGAAATAGTAAAAATCTCATTCCCAGAACTTTTTGCCTTGCTGTGCACAGATTCCATTTTGAAAGACCTGTGGGAGAAGAAACAGAGGATATCATTAAAGATATATGAAAAGTATTTTTAGAAATAAATTGAAGATTTGAGTGCATGACCACTTCAAAAAATTTTGGGAATTGAACACAGATTTTTTTTAGCAATCGTGTCCAACATTAATCTCTTTGGTAAATTTCCCCACTTTGTTCCTGCCTAAAACCTTAATCCCAGTTTTGACTCTTAGTTTGCCAGAATTATTTTGTGACTCATTTTTCCAAGAGCAGTCCCACTATATTAGATCATGTAATTTGTGGTTAATGCAATATTTTTGAATCCTAATATGACATCTGCCAGAGTTCTCCCCAGGTACTATAAGGACCTGAGGAAGGCAGGCCAGTGATTCAGTCATAGCAACTTTTAGATACTGCTCAGGGATATTCTCATAGGCAGATGGCTCTTTCCTTAAAATGCAGTTACGTTATGCGCCCAGTTGTTAAGCCCACAAGGATTTCTCAACCTTCACAATCACAGTGAAATGTCAGTGAAATGGCCAAATCTGTTGGAAGGATTCGGTGTGACAAATCCAATACACATTTATTTTGATTTCCTAAAAAATGACACGCAGTCTGACAGCAGATCAACGTTGAAGTGACTGATTTTGGGAAGCAGTCTCTAATCCTGACAACTCCTTCAATAATTTGTTTTAATGAAGAATCTTGTAAAGAATTAACTAATGTATGGCAGCAATTTTAAGGCCATGTAGTGGAAGGCAGGCTGAAAGCCCATAATCCCCCCTCCATGCACCAGACACACCCTCTACGTTCTGTACGCCCCATGAGGGGCGAACTCAGAATGAAAACCTCCATCAAACAGTAACGAAGTCCCTCACTGGATCTGTGGGATCATGATTAGGCAGATATAATTTGCTAGCAGCCCAAGTTTTTAAGAATTTGAAGAAATCTTAGCGGTCACCTATCCCACCCACCTCATTTTCTAAATGAAAGCAAGGCTCAGAGGGGCTAAGTGACTTGTCCAAAGCTACGTGTGGCTAGTTAAACAACAAAACCAGGATTTATTCCCAGGTTTTCAGGCTCCAGGCTGACTGCATTTTTTGTGTATCATGCTTTCAGTGCTTTATAATTTTCTTAGTCATAGAAAGAAAAGTAAAAGAAGCCTATATGAAACTTAAATGTGTGTATATGTATGTGTGTGTATATATATATATTCACACACAGAAGAGAGGAAAATTAAGTAAACAAACCACAAAATTTTACCAGTCTATTCCTCCATATTAGGGCCACAGAACAGAAAAAGGGAAACCTTGGAGTATAGCTGTAGTACAGAAGCATTATAATGTAAGGAAGCATAACATCGAGTCCTAAATAATCCACGTAGACTTGCTACCAAACTGTAGGCCCACTGAGGGCAAGAACTGTGCTGACCATACAGTGCCTGGAACTGAGCTCCTATCACATAACAGAAATGTCAAGGACTGTTTACCACCATGTATGGGCAGTGCAAATAATGTCTCTTCTGTAAAAGCGTCCCAATGACTTCATCTCATGCTAATTATTTGAAAACCAAAATACTTACCTATAGTACAAAGATTTTTCCTCATTTTTTTACCCTACTTTCAGTGTTTTCTATTTATTTCATGTGCATTATTTTTATCATCTGAATTAGTTCCTACCCAAATGAGAAATTTATTTCTATTTCCTCTGTAGGCTAGTGCTAAGGACATATGCAGTAAACGTGTGAATCAATCCTCTAACATCAGACTGAATTTTAGCAGTGGAAGAAGGTAAACACACAGAGTTAAGGTTGGTAACGAATCAGGCTCTGGAATTAGACTGGTGCTCAGCTTTGAATCAGCCTCTAAGGAGATGAATTAATCTTGGGTTGATAATTTCTCTCCATAAGTCTCAATATCCTCATCTTTACAAAGAGCAAAATAATAGTACCTATATGCTAGCCTTGCATATTAAATGAAATCATGTAAGTAAAGTACTTACATGGTGACTAATAGATATTAAACATTCAAAAAACAATAGCTATTTTTACTAAACTGTACTTTTTGTAAATGAGTTACTGATTGCCACCTCTAGTTTAATATGCCGAAGTATAAATTAAATGGTGGGATTTGAGGCATGAAAGTGTAAAACTTTTTCCGATGATATATGAAATACATTATCATTGGCATTTACTTAAATGTTCTTTGTTCATATTTAATTCACACCAAGTAAAATGGATTTCAAGGTGTGTATGAGTCAATCTATCATCTATCTCTCAGTCTACCTATCTATTAAATCATTCAGCTCCCAGCACTATGATTTTCCTGACACATGAGAGTAGTGGATATTTGTTGAATGAATAAATTTTAAAATATGTAGATTTATTGCCCAAATTATCCTCTGATCCCAAAGAATTAAGAGGAAGTTTTTCTTACATGTGTTTTGAGCTGAAGGAGCTGTTGCATGCTTACTCTTCATTTGAAAAAAGGAAGAAAGAAAGGAAGGAGAGGAGGGAGCAAGGGTAGAAAGCCAAATATAGCAAATAATGATAGTTTTTTTAATGTCCCAAATAACAGTAGTCAAAATCTTTATGCATGTCTTACCTGTCAGTTCCAAATGCAAACTCTAAAGGCATGTTAACTAACTTATTAACTACAAATAGTCTGCTCAATAAATAAACTATAGTGTTTGACTCGTGCAAAGAATCACAATTATTCTCCAGTCCTCTCAGCATCCCAACCTGATTTGGAAGCGTGGACGTGTATTTATTTGACAAGTCCAAAACTTTTTTGGAAAATAAATTAACTTTTGAATAGTCTGTTTTCATTTCAGCATTGCATTCATCCCACCCCGGCAGCATCAATGAGAAGCGATCTTCATTTGTGGCAAGTCCTAAAGAAACAGAACCCTGAAGCTTTAAAATATTGAGATGCTTAATGCAGAGATTATCTAATTCTTTATCCACACCCCATGGCAAAAAGCAAGATAGGAACAATTTAGCTGTGTCTATTGTGATGCTGGCATCCACTTTTCTTGATGGCTTAGGGTGCATCTTTTTGGAGTTCTTTGTTTTCCTCTGCCTTTTAATGCCATCACTTTCTTCTAAGAATTTGACAGCATTATCTCCTTGGGCTGGGTTTTCACCAACAGGCTTGGCTTGCACCTCCGCTGAGAGAGAACCACAGGCAGTTTTATTTCTTTTCAGCGTCAATGTTTTCTTCTCCACTGTGCTTTTGGCTCTTCTCAGGATCTCACTACCATAGAATGAATTGGAAGGGTCAACATCACAGATTGGAGTTGGCAGCAAAAGTTCAACAAGATTTTCCAGATCAAACAGAAGGATATGAAAACCAATGTTACTCCATTTTGTCTTCACAGGCAAGACACTAAAAGGTCCTGAGAAAGACTTGGCATCAGCAACCTAAAGGAGATTAAAAAAAAAAAAAAAATTATGTGTCAGGGTTCTTATTTTTTAAGTGATTTTATTAAAAGTTCCATATTAAAATGGCATAAAATGAAAGTATTAAGTAGAAGTACAATTAAAGGCAAGTTATTTCAATTATTTTGTCTGCTATAAAAACTTCCCTCTAAATTAAACATTCTATGTTTCAATATTCCTTAAAAATTATTTTTTCCTTCCTAAAACTTTTATTTTTCCTTTAAAAAATGTGAATTTGACCTATGAAGTAAGATAGCATCAGATTAATGTCTTTTCATATATGATTTCATATCTTCCTATCAACATAGCCATGAAGGCATACAAAGGGAAAAAAGCAGGTTTGAAAATTAAGGAGGGAGGGAGGAACAAGATGGTGGAGGAGTAGGAGACCTAAATTTCGTCTAGTCCCAGGAATTCAGCTGGATAGGGATCAAACCATTCTGAATACCTACAAACTCAACAGGAGATCAAAGAAAAGGACAGCAGCAACTCTCTGAACAGAAATGCGACCACTTTCTGGAAGGTAGGACGTGCGGAGAAGTGAATCAGAGGCGATATTCCAGAAGATAGAGACGGCGGGGGAGGGGCCTCCGTCGGCCGCTTCTGGCAAGTGATAGAGCCGCGGAGCACAAAATTAGAACTTTTAGAAGTCAGCTCCGGTGAAGGACATTGCTCCAGTGGCTAAGCGGTGGGTGGAACCCTCGCGGGACAGTGTGGTCTCAGGACCCTCGGGGTCACAGAAAGACCGGGGGTGCCTGAGTGCGGCAGAGCTCCCAGGTATCAGA